AGCCATAGTTGAGGATGGGTCTTGCCTGAGTCAGAAATGAGACAGAAATGGTCCTAGGCCCCAGGAACTGCTCTAGGACCAAGTGAGCTCCTTGAGAGAGTTCGTTCCAAGGCATTCCTTCTACTATGGAGCTGAGTCTTACTTATATTCACCTTAGTATCCACAAGAGGAGGAGCTCAGGGAAGATCTGTTGGGTGAATGAACAGGGAACCTTTATGTAGATTTAGCCAAGGTGGGTGGTTGTATTATGTGTCAGGTTAAGGGAGGGCACGGCTGAGATAGAAGTGGGGTTTCCAGTATATGTTGGGCCAGAGGACACAGCTGAGGCAGGAGGAAGGATCTGCTGAATCAGAAATGGCTGCTGAATTTTGAGGTGCTTGCGGTCCCTAGGAGTGAGAGTGTCACAGGAAGCAGACCTTGAGGAATCTTACATACAGTCCCTGGACACCAGGTCCTTGAGGCACTGACTCCAGGCAGGCTTTAGAAGAGATGTTACGTCTCAGCTGACAACCCTTAGGATGAGTAGAATATTGGTAGATTGGTACTTGGGCTCAGGGTTGAAGGGATACCACTGGGCTATACATTGAGGGTGGGTACCCAGTCACGTTGCTTATGTGTCCCCAGAGCCTGGCACAGTCCTCAGTGCATAGCAAGCACCCGCCAAGTGTGTTGCAGGAAGGGGTGAGTGGTTGAGTTCAGAGTAGATGCCTAGAGATATGCAGAGCAGGAAGTCTCTTCCCTGGGGATGTGTCCCTAACTTCCACCGCTGTCCTCAGCTGGAAGATCTGGAAGTCACTGTAGCTGATCACATCCAAAAGGTCATGAAGGTGAACTTTGAAGCAGCCTGGGATGAGGTAGGGGATGAGTTTGAGAAGGAAGAAACTTTCACTTTGTCTACCATCAAGACACTTGAAGGTAAGTCCTGGGGATGCCATTTCTGGCTTGCTTGCCTTTCAAGACCCTTGGCTGCTGTTGAAGTGCTCCTCCCCTTTTGTCCCTTCCCATCTCTAACCCCCCTAAGGATCCTTGGCCATGTCTAGAGCACACACTTCAATGCCACTTCATTAAAAGCCCCTCAGAGCAGGGTTGTGGGTAGAGGAGTGGTGGTGACACAAAGTGGGAGACAAGATAACATGGCTTAATGATGCTGGGATTTCTCCTTACAGAGGCGGTGGGCAATATCGTGAAATTCTTGGGAATGCACCCTTGTGAGAGGTCAGACAAAGTGCCGGATAACAAGAACACCCACACGTTGCTTCTGGCCGGTAAGCAGCATTTCCAGGTGGGAGGGGCCCGGGTAGTTACAGCCTGGATGCCGCTGGCTCCTGGGCTGACGACTCCCACTGGCAACGTGGGGATTCAGAATTTACAGTTTAAAATGCAGAAAGTATGAAAAGATCTGTAATGAAACATGTCCCTCCCCACCCTTGCTGCCACCAGCCACTTTCCCTCCCAACATGCACCCAGTGTTACTGTTAGAACAAGGCCTGTATATCCTTCCAGTTATTTTATGGATATAAAAGCTAATATGTAAACATTTCCTTTTTTTTTTTTTAACTCAAATGTTTATGTACAAATAGTAGGTATGTGGTCCTGCGCTTTGCTTTTCACTTGCAAGTGTATCTTGGAGATCTACTCTGTTGACACATAGAGCTTCCTTATTCTTTCTTACAGCTTTTATAGTATTTTCTTGTGTGGTTGTACCATGTTTTATGGAATCAGTCCCCTAGAGAGTTTCCAGTCTGTTGCTTTTACAAACAGTGCTACAGTAAATAACTGTATGCGTGTATACACATACATACTCATACCCTCAGGAGCCCTCCACATACACAGTATATTTTGCATGTGTGCACTGAGGATATCTGTAAAGTCCTAAAAATGACATTACCAGATCAAGGTGATTTGCATTTCTCATTTGGATAACTAGTTCCAAATTGCTTTCCATAGGGATTATACTCCTTTCCCCGGACACTCTGGCCAACACAGTGTTATCCCACTTTATGATCTTTGCCTATCTGGATGAAAAATGGTATCTTAATGTAGTTTTTTTAAAAAATTTAATTTTTTTGTTGTGGTAAATATATATATAACAAAACATTTGCCATTTCAACAATCTTCACATGTACAATTTAGTGACAGTGTAGTTTTAATTTACATTTCTTATATTTTGAATGAAGTTAAGTGTCTCCTCAAATGTTGAAGAGCCATATGTATTCCCTTTTCTGTGAATTGTTCTTACTCCCTTTGTCTGATTTTCTGCTGGGTTGGTTGGTCTTTTCTATTAGGAATGGGATTTTTAAAAACATTTTATCATAGAAATTTTTAAACATACACAAAAATAAAATAGTATAATGAACCCCTATGTGTTCATTTTCCAGTTTCAACAACTAACAACATCTACCACATACCCCCATCCTTTCTCCCCTCACGGAGATAAAGCAAATCCCAGATAGTATAGCATTTTATCCTTAGGTGCTCCTGTATCTGTGTTTCACTAACAGATAATGACCCTTTGTTTAAAAAAAAAACAGACATAAGGGCAGTACAACTGTCACACCTAAAATAGTTAACAAAAGGGATGGGATGCCTCCCTCCCCCAGTGTTTATAAACAGAGCTGGGAGGATGCTCTGCTTCAGTGCCCAGCTTCCAGCTGACAGCCCCCAAGCCCATCTGCTTCTGGCCACACTGAATTACTCCAGTCCCCTGGGTCTCGCAAACACCTGCTCTGCGGTTCTCTCATGGGGCTGTCCCCTTCAACTGTTCTTAGCCTCTGTGACATCAGGCAGAAGTCTTATAATGTCATTACTTCATTTGAGCCTTGACAGAGGCCTGAAATATGGTTACTACTAGTATTGCCTCCACTTTGTAGTTGTGGACACTGAAGCTTAGAGAGGTGAAGTGACTTGCCCAAGCTCTCTTGTTCCAGGGCCACTTCCCATTTCAGTTGATAATTTGCTGCACCTAGCCTCATCTCCATAGCCTCCTGCTGCCTTACACACCTGCACTTCTCTCGTCCCTTCTAGGTGTGTTCCGGGGTGGTCATGACATCCTGGTGCGCTCCCGGCTGCTTCTTTTGGACACAGTAACAATGCAGGTGACAGCCAGAAGCTCAGAAGAGCTGCCAGTAGACATCATCTTGGCATCTGTGGGCTAAGGGGCCAGCCTGTAGTGACCCTACTCCTACCCTTTTCTCCCAACACTATACAGAAGTCATACTTTCCTGGTGAACCCAGTGGAAATCCCTTCTCCAGCCTCTATTTAGAAACAATTAGGAATCATTAAGGTTTTTGGGTTTTTTTTTTAAGATCCTCCACCCCCACAAGACTGCCAGGGGGTAATTTTTTTTTTTTTTTTTAATAAGAAATGACTTTAGCTTGTCCTAGAACTTGCTACCCTGCCTGCAGGGGGAGGGACGTTGCAAATAATACATTGTAAAGGAATAAAATGTTCATACCTCCTCTGAAATTTGTCTATCTGGAAGAAACCATCTTATCCCTATAAATAAATTGGGGTGTATTTATTGAATGACAGCTGCTTCTACAGACTCATGCTTAGGGGCTCACCTTTCCTTTCCTGGCTTTCCCACCTCCAACTAGAGCACCTACAGAGGATACCCTTTGCATCCAAATTACCATAGCCTTTTGGCTATTGTACTTAGTGTGAGGTGGATCCTGTCCCACCCATCATTGTCCCCAGCACCAAGGCCAGGGACAGGAGCAGTAAAACAATTGCTGAGGACAAGAACTAATGAGCATTGAGTTCCTACTCGTATATATGAACTTTCACCACAATCCTCCTTTTATAGATGACAAATGGAGGCCCCAAAGGGTTTGGGTGATTTACCAGAGTGTTACCTAGCATCAGATCTGAGGAAAATTTGCAGTAGGGTTCAGTCCAATTGAGAGAATGAACAGAACCCAGGGAAGAAGCACAGAGGAGAGCAGGAGAGCCTTCTCTTGGCTACAGATGCAGAAATCCCTGGTTTAGGTCTCAAGGAGCAGGCTCAGAGGGCTGTGCTTTTAAACTCAAGCCAGGTGGATTTTGCAGTTTAAATACATGTAGTGGGGAGGTGTGAGGTCAGTCTCATTCCGGTGCCCACCAAAGTTTGAGGGTCATTTGTGTGATTCATGGAAGCTTTCCTGACGGCTCCATTTTTTGCCCCCAACTATGAAGCAATTAGTAGGACTGCAAGGTTAAGAAAACGGAGTTTCCTGGTTTTACCCCTACAATAACGTGGTGCTATAGAGCTATGGTTCCCCCATACAGCCAAAGGGACGCAGCTTGGGTCTTTGCAAACGGGGACACGCGCCCTGTCAGCCCAGTCCTTCGGGCCGTCCCCCACCCCCGTCCCTGCGGTTAGCGCTGGGGAGGGGTGGAGTAACCCCAAAGGGGAATGGGTGAACCCAGAGAGAAGCGGCGCTCGGAGAACCTTGAGGTCAATCATTGTCGTCTCCCGGGAAACTTCCGTAAGACTCGGATTCCGAGGCACCTCCATTGCCAGGATCGGGATGGGAAGAAGCAGGCCCAGGTAACCGCGCGGGAACAACCCTCCACAGGGGTGTGGCTAGGCAAGCCGCTGGGGGCGGGGCTGACCTCTCTGGGGGCAGGGCCTGTCGCCGAGCGCGGGTCAGCTGGTCTGTGGTCCAAAGGGAGCGACGCGATCGTGCGGGCGGGGCTGAGGTGAGGCGACGCGGGACGGCCGGGGCGGGGGTGAGGCGATGCGGGGCGGCCTGGGCGGCGGTGAGGCCACGCGGAGCTGCGGGGGCTGGAGTGAGGCGACGCGGGGCTACCGAGGCTGAGGTGAGGCGGGGCGGGCGGCAGAAGCTGAGGTGAGGCGACGCGGGGCGGTCGGGCGAGGGCAGGTGGGGCGGGCGGACCCCAGACCCGGCAGGGAGGGGCGAGGCCGCGCTGGCGGCAGTTTCAGGCCGCCTGCTCCTCTGCTGCTGACGCGGGCGGCCCCTTCCTGGGGGGGGCCTGGCATGTAGGGCCCAAAGAGGATACACAGATGAACAAGAAATAGGCCGAGTGTCTGCCCCGAGGGCCAGCTTCCTCGCCGGCCTGGTTGCCATCCTCACAGGTGTGATGTGCTCATCCATGGAGCGGGGAGAGAAGGGAAAGGGTGGGAGGACCAGACGGTAAGGGTGGAGTCACCAAGAGGAAGGAGCTACACAGAAGTGACCAGAGACCTCGTTTTGCCTCTCTTGGCTGAACCATTAAACCAAAGAAAATAAGCTTCTCCGAGAAATGTGATTTCTTGTAAATGGTTATGTAGAACCACAGTTGGTGCTCTGAAGACGTACAGAGTACTCTGGGAACCGTAAGAGAATGTTGTGATTAAAGGAATAAGACCTAATATTTGAGATATGCCAACTTTCCCTAATGTTTTGTGATTTACAGGTTGAGAGGCAGTGTTGGAGAATGTGTGGGCGAACATCCTGCCACTTACCTAGAGATGTTCTCACAAGAGCTTGTGCCTATCGGGACAGGCAGGGCTATCAGCAACTCCCAGAGTGGAGGGACCCTGACAAGTATTGCCCCTCTTACAACAAGACCCCTCAGTCGAACAACCCAGTGCTTCTGTCTCGACTGCATTTTGAGAAGGTACCTACTTTATCTGCACCAGACCAGCCTCTGGCTCAGCATTGTGATGGTCATCTATTCCTGTTTGGTTTGGTGTATGCTCAGCCTCTGGGATGGCATTAAACACCAGCCTTTACTGATATATTCTGGGCCTCCTTGAAAGAAGTTTTATTACTATCTTTTAACATTAGAGAGGATTCTTTAGGCCCAATTTAAGTGCCTTTTCTATACAAGGCCTTAATGCATGCCAAATTTACATGAGCCTTGTATTTGAATACATGTTTTTAAGACAGCTGCTTTCAGTCCTCACTAATCATCAGGGTCATTTGAGTATCTTAAAAAAAAAAGTTGTCAAGCCTCTTACCAGGCCAGCTGAATCAGAATCTCCAGGGCTGGTGCAGGATTAATTTAAGACCAACTTAACCTAAAACATCTCAGATTATCTTGAAATTGAAAAGTTTCTCTTCTTGTGTTTTCAATCTTTGTATATTTGTCGCTTACTGAAGCTAGAAACAGACGTATCTGATTCGGTTATCTGAAACTTCATGGTATTCATTGTGTTCATACTAGACTCTATAGTGTGGAGTGACCAATAATTTACAGTCATGTTTTACTTCTTTTGCCTTATATCCTGAATGTTGTGTGTGCAGCTAGTGTAATAAAGATACTTCATTCCAGAAATTAAGTTTTTCCATGTCTGTACTATTTTAAATGCCCTCGATATTTTTTTTTTTAATTATGATTATTTCTCTCCTGGATTTTGATTGTATTTGACCCATACTGCTGAAATCACTTTATAAAGTTGATTGTATTTCTGGTACATACTCTTCATGATAATATGATGGTCAAAAAAGACTTAGTTCTACATTACAGGGATCACGTTAATTCTGAAATAAATGTACTAACTAACATTTATTTCTTTGGTTGAATGAAGCCATTTACATGAAATTATCTTGAGGCATTTTTAGACGATGCATACTTCCTATTGAAACTAAAAATATTTTTAAAGAGAGGGAAATCAAGATAAAATAAATAAATATCATGGGGAACTTTGAAGGAGAAAGGAAAAAATAAAACGTGTCAAAGGAAGGCATAATTTGGAGGAGAGAAGGACTAAGTGTGTGAGCCTTGTTTTTTAACCATGGTTCTCTTTAGAATTATAGAATGAATGTTAGCTGGAAGAAAAAAATGTTTAACGGATGTAAAGACAAGTGTAGAAACATTGTGACTTGTCGTAGGTTACCAATCAGTGAGGGACAGAATTGGGACTCAGATCCAGACAACTGTCCCCACTCCAGTGAATGCTTCCTGGAACTAGGAGTGGGGAAAGTAGAGCCCCTAGCAAACACAGCCTTCCTTTTGGATCAGTGGTATGAATTTGTTGATGTAATGTTTTGTTAAGTTTTTTTAAGATTTCTAGAGCTTTTAAATTTTGATAAATATTTGAGGTTTCATTTTTCCCAGACCTGTAAATCGTAAGGCAAAATTAGAGGCAACAGTTCATTAGTCCACATCATTCAACGGCTAGCACATGTGTACAGACTGCAACATTTGCATTTGAAACCACTGATTTGCAAATAATTTCCTCTTTCATTTTTCTGCCCCAGTGCTAACAGCTGTCTGGTCAGAGTCCAAAATGGTGGAGGAAAAGATGACTAATACTGAGCAATATTTCAGTATTTTGGCTTTTCAGACACTTTCTATTCATTGTGCCCAGTAGGGGGCAGCCTCACACTTAGGTTTGGTTTACAATTGTCCAGTGAACACATTCAAGTGGTTTGTTTTTACTTTTTAATTATGCTTTAAGTGAAAGTTTACAGTTCAAGTTACTTTCTCATACAAAAATTTATACACACATTGTTATGTGACCCTAGTTGCTCTCCCCATACTGTGACAGCACACTCCTCCTTTCCACCCTGGATTTCCCGTGTCCATTCAACCAGCTCTTGTTTTGCCTTCTCATCTCGCCTCTGGACAGGAGCTGCCCATGTAAACTCATGTATCTACTTGAGCTAAGAAGCACGCTCTTCACAAGTATCAGTTTATTTCTTATAGTCCAGTCTAATCTTTGTCTAAAGAGTTGGCTTCGGGAATGGTTTTACTTTTGGGCTGACAGAGAGTCGGGGGGTCATGTCTTCCAGGTTCTCTCCAGTCTCAGTCAGACCATTAAGTCTGGTCTTTTTACTAGAATTTGAGTTCTGCACCCCACTTTTCTCCTGCTCCATCAGGAACTCTCTGTTTTATTCCCTGTCAGGGTGGTCATTGGTGGTAGCCAGGCACCATCTAGTTTTTCTTGTCTCAGGCTGATGGAGCGTCTGGTTTATGTAGCCCCTTTCTGTCTCTTGGGCTCATATTTTCCTTGTGTCTTTGGTGTTCTTCATTCTCCTTCGCTCTAGGTGGCTTGGGACCAATGGATGCGTCTTCGATGGCCGTTTGCTAGCTTTCAAGACCCCAGGTGCCACTCATCAAAGTGGGATGCAGAACATTTTCTTAATAAACTTTGTTATGCCAGTTGACCTAGATGTCCCCTGAAAGCATGGTCCCCAGACTCCCACCCCTGCTACTCTGTCCCTCGAAGAGTTTGGTTGTATTCAGGAAACTTCTCAGCTTTTAGTTTAGTCCAATTGTGCTGACTTCCCCTGTAGTGTGTGTTGTCTTTCCCTTCACCTAAGGTAATTCTTGTCTACTACCTAGTTAGTAAATACACCTCTCCCTTCCCACCGTCGTAACCATCAAAGAATGTTTTCTTCTGTGTTTAAACCTTTTCTTGAGTTCTTATAATAGTGTTCTTATACAATATTTGTCCTTTTGTGACTGATTTCACTCAGCATAATGCCTTCTAGATTCATCTATGTTATGAGATGTTTCACAGATTTATTGTTATTCTTTATCATTGCACAGTATTCCATTGTGTGAATATACCATAATTTGTTTATCCATTCATCTATTGATGGTGGACACCTAAGTTGTTTCCATCTTTTTGCTATTGTGAACAGTGCTGCAGTGAACATGGGTGTGCATATTTCTATTCCTCTGACTGCTGTTATTTCTCTAGGATATATTCCAAGGAGTGGGATTGCTGGATCGTATGGTACTTTTATTTCTAGCTTTTTAAGGAAGCGCCAAATCGATTTCTAAACTGGTTGTACCATTTTACATTCCCAGTAGTGTGTAAATGTTCCAGTCTCTCCATAACCTCTCCAACATTTATTATTTTGTGTATTTTGGATTAATGCTAGCCTTGTTGGGGTGAGATGGTATCTCATTGTAGTTTTGATCTGCATTTCTCTAATGGCTAATGATCGCGAGCATTTCCTCATGTATCTGTTAGCCACCTGAATGTCTTCTTTGGTGAAGTGCCTGTTCATATACTTTGTCCATTTTTTAATTGGGTTATTTGTCTTTTTGTTGTTGAGGTTTTGCAGTATCTTGTAGATTTTAGAGATCAGACCCTGATCGGATTTGTCGTAGCCAAAAATTTTTTCCCAGTCTGTAGGTTGTCTTTTGACTCTTTTGGTGAAGTCTTTTGATGAGCATCCATGTTTGATTTTTAGGGGCTCCCAGTTATCTAGTTTCTCTTCTGGTGTTTGTACATTGTTACTTATGGTTTGTATTCTGTTTATGCCCTGTATTAGGGCTCCTAGCGTTGTCCCTATTTTTTCTTCCATGATCTTTATCATTTTCGACTTTATATTTAGGTCTTTGATCCATTTGAGTTAGTTTTTGTGCATGGTGTGAGGTGTGGGTCTTGTTTCAATTTTTTGCAGATAGATATCCAGTCATTTGTTAAAGAGACTGTCTTTTCCCCATTTAACAGATTTTGGGCCTTTGTCAAATATCAACTGCTCATAGGTGGGTGAATTTACGTGTGGATTCTCAATTCTGTTCCATTGGTCTATGTATCTGTTGTTGTACCAGTACCAGGCTGTTTTGACTACTGTGGCAGTATGATAGGTTCTGAAATCAGGTAGCATGAGACCTCCCACTTAGTTCTTCAGTAATGCTTTACTTATCCAAGACCTCTTCCCTTTCCATATGAAGTTGGTGATTTGTTCTTCCATCTTCTTAAAAAATACCGTTGGAATTTGGATCAGAGTTGCATTGTATCTGTAGATCACTTTGAGTAGAATTGACATTTTCATGATGTTGAATCTTCCTATCCATGAGCAAGGTATGTTTTCCACTTGTGTAGGTCTCTTTTGGTTTCTTGCAGTAGACTTGTGGTTTTCTTTGTAATAGGTCTTTTATGTTTCTGGTTAGATTTATTCCTAAGTATTTTATCTTCATGGGGGGCTGTTGTAAATGGTATTGATTTGGTGATTTCGTCTTCGAAGTTCCCTTCGTTGGTGTAGAGGAATCCAGCTAATTTTTGAATGTTTATCTTGTATCCTGATGCTTTGCTGAAACCTTGTATTAGATCCAGTAATTTTCTTGTGGATTCCTTGGGGTTTTTGTGTATAAGGTCATACCATCTACAAATAGAGATACTTTTACTTCTTCATTACCAATTTGGATGCCCTTTATTTCTTTTTCTAGCCTAATTGCTCTGGCTAGGACCTCCAGCACAGTGTTGAATAAGAATGGTGATAGAGGGCATCCTTGTCTGGTTCCCATTCTCAAGGGGAAAGCTTTCATACTCTCTTCATTTAGGATGATGTTCGCTGTTGGCTTTGTATAAATGCTGTTAATTATGTTGAGGAATTTCTGTTTCTCTTCTATTCCTGTTTTGCTGAGAGTTCTTATCACGAATGGGTGTTGGACTTTGTCAAATGCCTTTTCTGCATCAATTGATAAGACCATGTAGTTCTTATCTTTTGTTTTATTTATGTGATGGATTACATTGATTGTTTTTCTAATGTTGAACCATCCCTGCATACCTGGTATAAATCCCGCTTGGTCATGGCGAATTATTTTTTGATAGGTTGTTGAATTCTATTGGCTAGAATTTTGTTGAGGATGTTTGTGTCAGTGTTCATGAGGGATATTGGTCTGTAGTTTTCTTTGTTTGTGGTCTTTACCTG